CCTGAGAGGGCAGTGTGTGAAGCTGTGAGTGTGAAGCCGAAGGTGCAGTGGAGACCCCAGAAGGTTGGAGAAGCCAGGAACATGGATCGTCTGAGGAAAACTGCAAGGAGGGAGCAGAGCCAGCCCCAGGGAGAAGCCATGGGAGCTACAATCACTGCCAGTGCCACAGGGGCAGAATCACCCAATCCCTTTGGAGTTCATATCTTGCCACAGATTACCGGGGAATCTGGACACAGAACTACTGAATTTAGTGTTTGCCGTTCTGGATTTTGGATTTGCTTTGGTCCCATTCCTTTGTATCTCCCTATTTGTAACTTTTGGAATGAAAATGTCCATCTTGTGCCACTGAATGTTGGAAGTGTTTAACTTTCTTTTTCATTTGTACAGAGGCTTATAGGTAAGAGTTTGCATTAAATTTCAGGGGAGACCTTGGACTTGAACTTTTCAGCACAGTTGAAACTGTTAGGACTCTGGCAAGTTAGAGATGGACTAAATGCCTTTTGCATAAAGGGAAGTACATGAGTCATTGCCAGGCCAGGGGCAGAATGTTATGGCTTGTGTCTAGATATATCCCTAAAACCTCATGCAGTCATATGTGGCTGGATCTAGAATGTGTGACACTGGTATGGATTCATGGTGCACTGCTAGGATTAAGGACACTGGGATTAAGGGTGTGAGTGCTACCCACCCTAAGTACCCTGGATAAGATATAAGGGACATAAAGAGCTGTGGTGTGGTCCCTTGCTTGCTTTGCTACCTTCTGCCCACCATGAACTATTTCTCCTCTGCACTGCCTGTCAGCCATGCCACCCTGCCTTGGAGCCAGCTGACTATGGACTGAAACCTCTACAAACTGTGAGCTAAATAAACCTTTCCTCCCTCAGTTTTGGGTATTTTAATTTTGGGTGTTTAAATACTTGGGTATTTTTCTCAGCAATGAGAAAAGTAACTAAGACACATAGAGGATTAATATCTAGAATACATAAAGAACTCAAAAAAATTAGACCACCCAAAATAAAAACCCAATTGAGGCTGGGGTGTTGCCACACACTTATAATCATAGTGAGTTCAAGGCCAGCCTGACTACATAGCAAGACTGCCTCAAAAAAAAAAAAAAAGTATGTATCCAACAAAAAAATGGGCAACTGAAATGAATAGACCCTTCTCAGAAGTACGAATGGCCAATAAATACATGGAAAAATGTTCAACATCACGGATCATTAGAGAAATGTAAATTAGAATAACACTGAGATTCTTACTCCAGAAAGAATGGGTATCATCTAAAAATCAAATAATAACAAATGCTGGCAAGGCTGCGGGGGGGGGGGGTTTCAAGATTGTTGGTGGGAATGTAAACTAGTAAAACCACTATGGAAATCAGTATGGACATTCCTCAAAAAACTAAAACTAGCAATTTCATTTGACCCAGCTATCCCTCTTATAGGTACCTTCTTGAGTTAAAAACATCATATTCCAGTGATACATGCATATCCATGTATAATTTATAGCAGCACAACTATTAATAACTAAATCGTGGGCTGGGGATTTAGCTCAGTGGTGCCGCCACCTGCCTTGCAAGCTCAAGGTTCCGAGTTCGATCCCCAGTACCAAAACAAAACAAAAACCCCCACAAAAAAACCAAACAAAATAACTAAATCATAGTAATGGCCTATATGTTCATCATCGGATAAATGGATAAAGAAAATGTGGTATTTTTACACAATGGAATACTAGTCTGCCATTGCGTTGTTTGTAGGAAAATCGAGGCACCCTGAGACCATAATGTTAAGTGAAATAGACCAGACACAGAAGCTTAAATATTGCATGGCTTCTCTTCTATCAAAAACCAAAATACAATAAAGAGTAAAATCATAGATGGATAATAGGAAGTGGGGAGATAGATCTTTTTCAAATGGGAAGAGGATGAAGAGATGGAAGGAGGGACAGAGGGATTGAAAAAAGAATTGAGATGTATTATGTACATGTACCAGCTCCCCACAAGGAATGCCATCATTATGTAATGCAAACATGTACTAATAGAAACAAAAAAATTTAAAAGATTTGGTTTCCTAAAGAAAACTATACTTGGGGCCGGGGATTTAGCTCAGTGGTTTTGCTGCCTGCTGCGCAAGAGCAAGGACCCGAGTTCAAGCCCCGATACCTAAAAAAGAAAACTATACCTGGACTTTATCAAATCACAAAAGTAATAGCACTTGGTAAGTGCTTTATTATGTCACTTAAACTTCACAACAACTGTATGAAGTTAAGTATATTTTATAGGTGAAGAAAAAGAGAGTTAAGCAAACCGTATGTTTCCAAACTCAGGCCAAGGCTCCAAAGGCTCCAGAGCCTCACTTGTACTCTGTGTGATATTCATTAACTGTTGTGATAAGAGAATAGTCAAGAGACCAATGCAACTCCTGCTTATACTTTTTATTTTTGTTTGTTCAGAATCTTTTGTTCTCAAATATTAAGATATATCAAAATTACCTATGATGTTTAAATTCAGATTCTCAGTTCTCAGCACAGGGCTAGAGAATTCAGATCTCTGGGGAAAGGCTTCCTGGAAATGTTTTTCAGGCTGCAGGTGATTCTAAGGTAAGTGGCCAGTAAGCATATCCTGACTGGTGTACCTGCGGCAGTTTGTGTTTTCCAAAGTCAGCCACAGCCAAACCTTCATCATACATATTCTGGGAGTTTTAAAATCTCACCACTCCCTTTGAAGAGGTGGATTCCAATTCTGTGTCTTCTACCCTTGAAACTGGGAGGGCTTTTGTGGCTGGTTGATCAATGATAGATTATGGTGATTTCGGTGCTAATGTGGCTTCCAAATTAGGTCAAAAGAAGCAATTCAGCTTCTACTTTTGCTTGCTGGAACACTCCCTCCCTCTTGGAAGCTTGCCACCATGCAGTGGGGAAGGCTACAATGTCCCAGCATAGACCCATGTGCAGGGGAAAGAACAGCCAGCACAGACTTGCCAGCCTGTAAGAAGTTACCCTCCAGGTGGGTCTTCCGGCCCATTCCAGCTGCTCAGCCTGACGAAGCATGAAGCAGAGACATGTTTCCTTGCCAAGCTCTGTCCAAATTGCACACTTTGAACACTATAGTTCCTCTTTCTTCCTATCAGGGGAACCTCTCATGTGACCTTTCTAAAATCTTCTCACAGTATCTATGTCCAACGTCACTGAACTTGCCAGCATCTTTTAGTCTGGTTATTTGAATTCTTACGATTCCCTCTCAGCCTTAGTTTTTTTACTCAAAAGGTGCTGGAAATACAGCCTACCCCTTCTACCTTATAATCAATTCGATGATCCATGGAATCAATTAGGACCATGCCCCCACAAAATGTTGCTCTTTGTCTGTAGGGAACAGGGGAAGGGAACGTTACCAGAACCTCTGCAGTAAGTCCTAGTCTCCTGTGAGCCATGGCAGTACACGGCGAATTACAGGAAAGATAGACAAATTAGACTGAGAAGCTGAGCTTTGGGTCTGATCAGTGCTGCTCTGGGCGGCAAAGACAAAGACCCCCTAGGTTGCAGCACTTTTTATTCAGTACGTGGGGAAACAGATGTAACAAGTGCAAAAGCAGAGTTCAGTACTTCACATTGGGATAAACAAGGTGTAACAAAAGACTTGGGGGCAGTGGAAATCTAAGAACAATGAAGAACTACGCAGATGAAGATTTGGTTCCTCCCTGGCGTCTCCCGCAGGTGTGGGCTTGTCCTGGAGCATTACAGCATCAGGGGATCACTGAGGTCTCAGTTGTGACCCGAGGCCAAAATGCAATTATGTCTGGAATGTCGTGGCTGGTCTGTAGACAGCAGAACTAGACCTACTCAAATGATTTTTCCCTAGAATTACGTAGCATTGTTCCCAACAATTGTCCTTACTGGGTTTCTTGCATTCATAGTCCCAGTTTCTTTAACGCCCTTTTTTTTTTTTTTCCTTTCTCATAGCACAGTGCCACTTCACAGACTATTTCCTGTACCTGGTATGCTCTTCTCTACCAGATCCACTAGACTCTCACTCATCATTCAGGACTCCACCCTTCAAGGTGCCTTCCCTAAATTCTAAAGCAGTTTATGCCTTTCTGTGCTCAAATAGCACTTTGGAGGAGTCGCTGGATTGTAATTACTTGTCTACTGGACCCCGGAGGGCATGGCCAGCCTTTTCTTTCTTTGAAGTTTTCCTTCCTAACGTAGCACCACCTGGCACTTCTTCACTCATTCATTCATATCTGTCTCACTGTGCTAGGAAACACCAGTAGTTAAGGCCCATGTCTTGGCAGATCTGCCTCGAAACAAAACGGCTCCACCTTCTTCTACACTCTAGCAAAAAAAAGTTAACTCTCTAAACTCCATTTCAAAATGAAGGCAACTCCCCCTCAAGATTGCCGTGAAGACGACGTAAACTGCCTTAAAAGGAAAATCCTTACCTATAAGGGATCAGTCATGGGGCGAAATGCGTTCTCAGCAATCCTATTTTCCGCCCCCGACCCGCACGATGATCCTACTTTCGGCCCCGCACTCTTAGGGTAACGCCTTCTTTAGGGTACTCAGGGTTCTCTCATCCTGGTCCAGCTAGCAAGCAACTGCGGGGTCCCGACACTCAGAAACAATTCCCCTTTCAGCCGCTAAATCTCCCCATTTCCCACCCACCCCCAGCCTAAGGGTGTGTCAAAGAAGCCTGATTTATGCAAATATAAGGTCTGCGTGACTGGCGAGTCCTGCAATTAGAGGACTGACTACCGAGTTTCGGTCGGCTGACGTGCACGTCCGCAGCGGTTGCGGCAGCAGCGCCGGGCCTCTTGCGGGCCGGACGCGGTGAATGAGCCGAGGAACGTCAGGGGCGGGCCCTCTGTGACGCCCACCAGCGCGGGCGTGGCCTGCGCGAGGGGCCTGCAGTTCCCCCGCCTCTCCGCCCGCTCGGCTGCGGAGCTCTTCCCGCCTCCCCTAAGTCCCCGCCCCACCGGGCGAGTCACTTCCGCCACCCCGGGCAGGGGTTGGGGCGGGAGCACGGGGGAGGGCCAGGTCAGAGGGAAGCTCGTCCGCGCCGGAGTAGAGACTACATTTCCCGAGGGGCTTTGGCGACGGCGGCGGCGGGCGCGGCGACGTCCCCCGGAAGTGGAGCCCGGGACTTCCACTCGTGCGTGAGGCGAGCGGAGCCGGAGACTCAACCAGAGGCCGAAGACGGGATCTAACAAGATGGCCGGGCTGCCCCGCAGGATCATCAAGGTAACCGCCCCGGTCGGCCTCCGGCTCCGCACTCTGCGCTCGTCCGTCGGCGGGGCGGGCCGGGCGGCTGCTGTTTCCTCCGGCCGGGGCTGAGCGGTCCGAGGCGGCGCGGAGAGGGTCTGGCCGCCGCGACGAGGGACTTCGAGCGCTGAGGAGGGGGCGCCAGGGCGACTTCCGGCCTCGGCGGGGCGGCCCGGCGGCGGGAACGCGGCTTCCCGACGGCCTGGCAGGCGCCCGGGCAGGTGGCGGGGCTGCGGCTCGGGCCTCCGCGGCCTCCTAGACCACCCTGGGCGAGGCCGCAGGCGCGCGGGAATCGTGGCCCGGACTCGCGGCGGGGGCTGTAACCTAGCGCAATCGCTCACCCCGAAGCCCCGATTCTGCCGGGACTGGAGCAGAGCGCGAGGGGTGCGGCAGCCCGGGTGCAGAATGAATGAACCGGCCGGGCGGGGCCTTGCGCCGAGAGGCGGCCCGGGGAGGCCGCGCGTCCGGCCGCGGTGGGCACAGGTCGCCCCGGCTGCCGGTTGCGGGACTTGGGGGCCCCCGCGCCCCGCTGCCCTCGCTTCCGCGATCTCCTCTCTTCTCTGAATGCGTTTCCGCTCATTATCGCCGCGAAGTGACTTCACTCCGGTTGGCAAACTCTTTCAGAGACGTTTCTGTTCCGAGGAAATAGTTTTAACAGAAGGTTTCGAGAGGGCCGCAGTGATGAGGGATGTTATGGCATCTTTGACCTCCCAATTTCGTGCACTTAAACTATTAAACCGTCCTTTAGCCTTATACTCTGAGAAGTACATATGGAGCCATGAAAAATTCCTTATCTTGGTCTTGTAAAATCTTTACATAACGTCGCTGAGTCCTCAGACTTGCTAAGTCTTTTTTTTGCAATCCATGAAAACTAAGTCTTGAATATATTTTTTGGTCAGTTTTTATAAAAGAAATTAGTTGAACTGCCTTGCTGAGTGTTCCAGTTCAAGTGACTAAATTGCCCGTAAACCTGGCGCGATATACCCTGGTGAACGTGTATTTAATCCTCATTTTTAGAGATGCGTAAGATGTGTAGTGCTTCATGCAGTCACAAGTTTAGCTGAGATTGGGGGTGGGTGATTACGTACTGAAAGGCATTTAACCTTTTTTAAGGTAGAAATTAGAAATGGAAGAACAGATAGTGAGCACTGGAGCCTGATAATTTGAACCTTCGTTGTTGTATTATGCATTTGTCTCAGACTTGCGAGGTTTAACTGTCCTACACGTAGGAAGGTCCTTACAGTGTAGCTTTAGTTAGGATGCAGTCCCATGGACACCGATGATTGTGTTGATTGAGGCCCCAGTGGAAAAATGAGAGCTGCGCCCCAAATATTGTGGAGTTTATTGTTACTTAGGTTATAGAATAAGTACATAACAAATTGACAATGAGGATACTTCTGTAAGATACAGTGAGCTGTTTTCCATTTTTGTTAGATTTGGAAGATATTCTGCAGTAATAGGAAAGCCTTGGATGGTAAAATAAATTCTGTGAAACCTTCTTACAAATTTAAAGAAGTGACTTATAATAAATAGAAGTCCTTATAATTCCCTTAGCATACAATTAAATTTACAGTATTTAATTTTAACCGTTTAAGACAGTGATTAACTTATGCTGCAGTATAATCTTAATTTAGTCTATTTTGTTGGTGGCATCTCTAACGAATGTACCTTGCTTTTATTCGGTAAATGTTAAAATTTGGTGACTTTAGTTTAATATACTTTATATTTGTAAAGGACACTTTTCTCCAGTCCCTAGGAAGGATTAAAAGATTGTAAATTTTTTAGTGTCCATGCTTGTAGTATGTAGGCTGTTGTATAAATTAGTGAAAGTACTTTTTCTTTTGGTATTGCTGGGATTTGAACTCAGGACCTCACGCATTCCAGGCAGGTGCACTAAACTGAGCTACATGCTCAGGCTGAAAATACATTTTTGGGGGGCAGTACTGGGGATTAGGCCTTCGCAATGAATTACATCCCCACTCTTTTTTTTTTTTTTTAAATTTTTTTTGTATTTTGAGATAGGGCCTCGTTAAGTTGCTTATTTGCCCAGGCTGGGCTTGAACTTTCAGTCCTCCTGTCTCAGCCTCTCAGAAGAGTACCACCATGACCAGCTTTTTTTTTTTTAATATCAGAATTTATTTTGAAAAGTTACTACTCTGCCAACCATTGAACAAGGTTTTATGTGGAGTAGAATGGTGGGTGGAGGGCAGCTGTACTGTCTTGAGGTGATAGAAACGTACGTTCATTTATTGGGTTATTTTTTGGTGACTGTTCAGTATTGATTATATATGTGTTACTTTTCTTAACGAATGGAAGTATTGAGGTAACTTGATTTGGACATATATTAATATGATACTTTCTACATCATAATGGTCCTTATTTACATTTGCAGATTTCTTCAGCCATTTGATCCTTGCAGAACTTTTGACCAGAAATTCTTTTTTGTGAACTAGACAGTATGTTTTACAGTCTAGTAACCAATTCAAATGACTTTCCTAAAGGTCTTAAACTGGCAAGAGGCAGAACTTGGATCTTCCCAGTGTGACACTCCTGTTTCTTGTTATTGGGAAATGACACGGGTATGTCCGAGTACCCTGACAACTGTGAATAACCATATACATAGGTGTCTTTTGAGTTCATTCAGTGGCTCTCACTCTGATTCCTATGTCTGTCCAGTGGCCAATTCTGAAGTATCTACCTTCAAAATGTATTGCCTGATGTGCTGTGTTTGTCTGCTTTACCTTCTTTTGAGGGGGAGATACCGGAGATTGAGCCTTGGGGTACTCTCACTGAGCTACACCCCAGCCCTTTTCATTTTCAGACAGTGTCTCACCAAGTGGCTTAGGCTGGCCTCAAACTTATCATTCTCCTCCTTCAGCCTCCCAACTAGCATGCACCACTGTGTCCTGCTTTTGTTAGCCTTCTTCTTGGAACTGGGGATCGTGTGAGGCAGGCAGTGGAACTACTGAGCTAAATCCCTGGTGTGGCGTATTAGCCTTTTTTAAAAATACAGATGGTGTTACTTCCCTGCTAAAAACTTTACAGAGGTGCTCCACACAAGAGAATCCTGACTTGCTTCTCTGAGCTTATCCCCTGCATCCCTGTTGATTTGCTGTGCCCTCAACAGGAAGTGGCAAGGCTTATTCCTGTCACAAGGCTTCACTCCTTAGTTCGTTGCATTGCACACTTTGGCTTTGTAGCATTCTTTGCTCACACATTTCCTCAGGCCTGCCTTAACTGTTCTGTATAAACCAGCTTCTTTTATTCCTGCTTCCCTTTCTTTTATGTAAACTTAACCATTACTCAGAGATGAGTGACCTGGGCATTGCTCGTTACTACCTAGAATAATTCTTGGCACGTGGTGGGCACTGAAATTTTGTCTGAATAAGCCTTACCTCTTCAGAAAAAAGTTCTAGGACAGTTGTTATTCTGTGTCATAATTTGACAGTGCTGTAGGTTCTGTCTGAACCAGTGTCTGAGCTAAAGCCTCATATTCCTGAATTGAATACGGTGATGCATGGTTGTAATTGTAACACTCTGGGAGGCTGAAGCAGGAGGATGACAAGTTTGGGCTCAGCCTGGGTGACTTAATGAGACTAAGACAAAAAAGAACTAGGAATGTGTGTCATTGTGAAGACCCCGAGTTCAATTCCCAGTTACTCCCTCATCTCCAAGTCTTACTCCACCCAGAAGTTTATTAAAAAACAAAACATGTCAATCTTTTGTATTATTATTATTATTATTATTATTATTATTATTATTTTGGTACCAGGGATCTAACTTGGGACCTTGTGCTTGGGAGGCAGGCGTTAGAGCCACTGACCTAATCCCCGCCCCAATCTTTTGTATTATTGAGTAGGACCTTTACAGCACCATGTATGGAAAGACTCATGGGCGTGTCCAAGCAGTGGCTCATGGGCTGCTTTCCCTATTTTTTTTTTAAATGTAATAATAACAAATATAAAAAAATACAAGAAGTTTTACTGCTTATATATGTTAACTATAGTATGTGTTTTATATGTAGCCCAAAATAATTTTTCTTTACTCAGTGCAGCTCAGGCAAGCCAAAAGGTTGGCCATGCCTTAGGGCGCACAGAGAAAATGAAGACTCTCAGCTGTCTTTCAGCATTCCCTCCTCAGATAACCACTGTTTTTTAATTTTAATTTTTATTTGTTTTTTGAGACAAAGTCTTGCTGTGTAGCCCAGGTTGACCTTAAACTTAGGTCCTCCTGCCTCAGCCTCCTGAATGCTGGGATTACAGGTGTGCCATTGTGCCGGGCTAAACAACCACTGTTTTTGTTTCGTATTCTTCCTCAAAGACTAGAGCAGCTCAGTGCATATATGCTAGTAGACTTCTTCCTCTCCTCGTGTAGTGTAAATACTTTGATTCTCCTCACCCTCCAGCCTCAATTCCAACTAACAATATAACTTTGAAGTGACTTTTTTTTTTTTTGGTTAGACTTTAATTGCTTTTTGGTAACTTGTAGATCTTTCCCCAAGTTGTGCTATCAAACAAGGCTATAAAGAATAGAAACAATGCTGTAATGTAATGAATGAGTATGGCATTTTGTTGTTCTACTTTTAGCTAGAAATTTTAAATTTCTTTTTTCTGTCTCTTCTGGCCAAAATAAATCTCTGATTGACTGAGCAAGTAAAGGTTAAAGTCATTCAGATTAAAAGTTAACGAAAAAATCTATAAAATCAGAGCTCCTCCCTTATCTTGTCATAAAGAAGAACCAGTTATTTTGGGAACACATAAATGAGATCTGTTAAATCTGTTTCAGTTTTATGTGTTACGTCGATATGGTGAAATTCTTTCTCTTCAAAGTTAATCGTGAAAACTAGCGTATAGTCTTAGGAGATAGTGGCAAACTTACTCGAATTGATATTTGCTCGCCTGCTGGGATTAGAATTCCATTTCACCAATCTTTCCCAAAATTTACTTTATATTTGGTGAGCATTTGTTTTCAGATTCTTT